TTTTTTTGCAGAATGCACAGGATGGTAAAGTTTTGTCTCTCTGAAAGGTTTATTTGAGCTTTTGAGCCTCTACTAGTCTTTATTTCTTCCTTCATTTACACTGACATCTTTTTGGGATGCTGTATCCACTCCAGATATAATGAAACAGATCTCTCCTGGCCATGAAACTGTTTGTCAGTCCATCGTCTGGTTATTTTTAGCCTCTGGACATCAGGGACGGTGTATAAAGTGGTTATAATTACTACACAATTAATGCAGTATTTAACCCCTTGGATAAAGCAGAAAGTCTGCACTTGAATTACATTTTGATTATTTGATTTTAACTGTGGATCTGTACATAGGTAAAACTACAAAAAATTGATTCACTATCTAACAGATTATATATTAAAGAATTATAAAGAGTAACACGTCACGGACGATTTAAAGACAAAATATGGAATTTAAATTTCATAGCACGGATATTTTAGTCTTTTAGTTTTACGGTAATGATTTCATGACTTGCATTTTTTTATTTTTAAACCTTTTAGTATAATTTTCATTGTTTCAAACAGTGAGATTGGCCACTTAAACACACCATTAACCAACTTGATTGACATTTTTTTGTATATAAAAATGAACGTAGTATGTTTGCCTTGCTGTAAACGATTAAAAATGTGCTTTTCTAAATGTGTAGATTGAATCGTTGAGTAAAAGACAGCCGATGATTCAAATATTAAGCAATATTTTTGGTTTTGTTTCTTTAGCTGTTAAGTTTTCTTTTCACCATTTCTGCAAACATGCAGTTTTTATTGTTACTGTATGTATTTCTTTTATAACACACGACACCAAGCAGTAGGTAATAATATTTATTCAGGACGTTGGATCTTGAAGACTAAAAATAGAAAGCTGTTTTCGTTTACAGCGTTCCCATATCTTGACTCTTGAAGGTTTTTAGCCTTCTTTTCCCATTTGTGATGTGGTGTTGAGAGTGTTGCCCATCTACATTGTAAAGCCGTATTGCACGTTGTCTGTAGGGTTTGCTCTGTTGTTGCATGGTCTTCCAGTGGTGTGTGTATCACTCAGCTGTTCTGTCACACAGTGTGTGTTGTTTGGTTTCAGAGCTTGGTATGTCCTTACTAACAGGCTTGATGTACGGTCCTGTTGTCTTGCTTGGTTACGTTTTTGTTAAGGGTGTGAAACATGTCAGTAATGTGTTGGAACTGTGGATGACTCGCTCCTTTGGCGTCTTTATTTTAACATGATTTATCATGGAGACCAGTAAAGACCCAGATTCAGTCTGTCCATGTTTGTCATGTCTGATCCCTGGCTGGGTTTTTCTACTTCCTTATCCCCCCATGACTTTGCTCCCGTCCTTTTCTCATCTTCTCCTCTTCCTTATCTTCTTCCTTCTCTTTTCTCCTTTCTTTTCTCTTTCCCTCTGTTCCTCCTTCCTTCTCAGCCTGGTGTAACTCCACCTACCTCTACCGTTCCTTTGGTGACCCTTCCTTCTCCGTTGCTGTCTATTGCCGTCACAATGCCGAGCGCGGCCGTGGCTCCCCCTCCCTCTCCTCTGCCAGTCCCTGTTGGGGTGGTGCCTACTATTGTTTCCCCTCCTCCTCCTACTCCCGCACCCACATCTGTGCCTCAGGCTTTGGCCACGGTGGTGCCAATCATCAGTGTAGTCAGCGCCCCGCCTGATACCCCCATGGAAGCCCCCCCTCAGGTACTGGTTATAGATGGTCGAACCCACCAAAAGTGAATGAAATGAGAATTTTCCCATATTTTAAAAATCTTGGAACTCATGCATTAAGTTTTTTTTAAACACCATCACCCTTTCTACTGATAGGACCTCACAAAGTTACGAAGTTCTTGTTTTTTAATCTGAAATGCACATCCTGGAGTATTGTCATATGATAATTCTGTTTGTTAAAGTTTTGCGAGTAAGAAATGGAAATGCACAGCTACAGTTTTGTGTTGTTTAATTGCCTTTTGTGGGTTTAAGTGAAACAATATACAGT